GAGAGAGAGAGAGAGAGAGAGAGAGAGAGAGAGAGAGAGAGAGAGAGTAGATAGATAGACAGACAGACAGACAATAGACAAGGAGACAGGTAGATAGAACTGAAAGCAGCCTAGGTCTAAGCCCAGGGAACACATTTCTTTCTACTTTGAAAAGGAAACATCCGTTAAAAGCTAGAGGATCTGACACCCTCTTCTGGCCTCCCTGGGCATTGCATGCACCTGTGCACAGACAGACATAGAGGCAAAACATCCACACACATAAAATATAAAAAATAAAAAGAGAAAGAGAGAGTTAAAGGATCTGGGTGTTGTGGTGGTCCATACCTGTCACGTCAGCACCCAGAAGGCAGAGGCAGGGAGGTTGCTGCAAATCCAAGGCCATTTTGAGCTACATAGTACCAGACAATTCATGGCAATACTGCATAGCAAGATCTTGTGCTGTCTCAGAGAGAGAGAGAGAGAGAGAGAGAGAGAGAGAGAGGGAGAGAGAGAGAGAGGCAAACAGAGATGCAAAAAAAATAAAAACAGAAGGAGGAGGAGAAAATGTGCTAGCATTCAATGAAACTCAGTAGATAACATTAGATTTTACTCTGGAAGTTAACAGGAGACATTTTAGTGGGCTTTTAAAGGTGAAAACTCAAGAGAAATGGTGTGAGAATAAGTTTAAAAGCAAAGAAGTATAAATAGCCACTGTGAGAAATCTCTCTAGATTTGTGTCAGTCAAGCTGGAGTGGCTGAAGAACTTAGGCCGATGGACAGACTCCAGTTCCAGTGAGCTTTAGGCTGATGAAGGATACAACACAAAGAAGGAACCTCTGAGGCTGCTGGGCTTTGGGAGTGGTACCACTGGATAGACTGGGGAGATGTCCCGGAGAAAGGAGAGAGGCAATCTCCAGTAACAACAGGTGGCTGAGCCTTGTTAGGAGGGATGGTAGCAAAGCTCGGCACTGTGCAGTGGTCAGGTGGATGGGTGAAAAGTCAGTAACTATCTCTGTTCCTCCAGAGGGGGATCTGAGCCCTCACCTATGCTCCTCCTGAACCTGTGTCAGCCCTGACACTGACAGATGGAGTCTTATCCTTGACCTTACACGGAGCCCAGACCCATAAGCTAAGTGCTCAATTCTGCCAAGCCACTTCCCTTCTTCCCAAAGAATACCCTGGGGGGAAAAACAGAGGGTTCAACACAAGTTTCCACAGTGAGGAAAACCACTGAAGCAACATGGAGCTTAGAGGTGCCCAGAGCTGGGTATTGCTTTCCTAACCCTGCTGGAAAAGGAAGTCTCCAGGAGCTGTTAGGGGTATGTACAAGAAACACATTAGTGGAGAAGAATCATAATGCATGTGGGTCTCCAAAAAGTTCTTTCTTCCTTCCTTCCTTCCTTCCTTCCTTCCTTCCTTCCTTCCTTCCTTCCTTTCTTTCTTTCTTTCTTTCTTTCTTTCTTTTTTTCTTCCTTCCTTTCTTTCTTTCTTTTTTTTCTTCCTTCCTTCTTTCTTTCTTTCTTTCTTTCTTTCTTTCTTTCTTTCTTTCTTTCTTTCTTTCTTTCTCTCTTTCTCTCCCTTCCGTCTTTCTTTCCTTCCTTCTTTTCTTTCTTTCTTTCTTTCTTTCTTTCTTTCTTTCTTTCTTTCTTTCTCTCTCTCTCTTTCTCTCCCTTCCTTCCTTCCTTCCTTCCTTCCTTCCTTCCTTCCTTCCTTCCTTCCTTCCTTTTTTCCTTCCTTTCTTTCTTCCCCAATGGAGCAAGAGCAGAAACTCACTGAGGCTGGCAATCAGGTCAGAAAAATGAAAGTGACAGAGCCTAAGCAGGCTGGGTATGGTTTTGGTGTTTCATTTCAGTAAGAGAGCTGAGGCTCCTTCAGTTTTTGTCCCTTACAAAGACCCTAACAAGGCTAAATACATTTGTACATTTATGTGGCAATCAAAGTTTATAGATATTTAAAAAAAAAATCCAGTGACTAGGTAGGGCATCACAACCTGGTAGCTGAACCTCCCGACACTTCCTTATTTGTGAAGTCAGAGTAGTAGTACTATGTAGCCCACAGGTCTATAACAGGGATGGAGTAGGATGATGACTAGGTTGTACTTTGTGTACTGTAAAGCGCTGTGGTATGGCTCTTAAGATCCTCATTAATAATAAGCAGAAGAAGAGGAAGAGAAAAAGAAAGAGGAGGAGCTAAGGAGCAGGAGGAGGAGGAGGGTTAGGTAGCCTCAAAATATCTCCTGTCCCAGGAGAAATACTTGGATTTTAAAAAGTCAGGAAGAGCATGCATGGACACCATTTGGTTGGAAGCTTCTATGGAGCGTGTGCATCAGAGCAGAACTCAGTCCTGCTGATTGAATTGGGAAAGACGCACTTTGCCCAGCGATGCTCCAATGACTAGCTGAATGAGTGACAAAGTCCAGCCAGCCCTGCTCCTTCCAGTGCTGCACATGTGACAGGCGTTGTATCTGTGACTCTCCTGGTGCCCACTGTCATGCTGCCTAGCCGTTTACTCACCAGATTCAGTGGTGGGGAGTCTGAGAAGTCTATGTCTGGCCTTTGTCCTTTCCATGGCACCTTTCAGTCCAGGTCTGCAGCCCGGCCTCTCTG